AGCCAGAAGATCAGGCGCAAGTAAGAAAGCGTCTCGTGAGGTCCATACTGCAAAAGTAAGTATCTAGTTTGTTTCACTTCTTGTTATTCATTTTCATATCTGAACTCATATGTATTGATTATAAACGTCAAATTTGAACTTATTACTTTGATTTTTTGTAGTACCATGAAGAAGATAAATCCTCGATCTCCTCGAGGTCCTACATGGAAAGCACCCAAGGTAATTCACCCATGATGTTGTGATTTTCTTACTTTACAATGCTTAAGATGTTGCTTATTTGCTATGCATTTTGATTCATGTGCTTTGTTCCTCATGCTAGTGCGCACAACAGGAAAACGGAGTTGAATGTGGCCTATACGTGATGAGATTCATGGATGACATAGTGATGAGTCATTGTACAGACACACGTCAGCTTGAAGAGGTATGCCATTTTGGTTGAAATTGCGTCCCAAAACCTCTTACTTGCTTTTTTCTTGTAATCTCAAGCATTAGTCACATTTAACTAAGTGATAATGACATTTTTTAACTAGTTATGAGTTCAATAGACATCAATTGTAGAAAATAGGCATCATAGTAGCCAAAATGGCCTTACTTGAGCCATTTTGGTTGAAATTGCGTCCCAAAACCTCTTATTTGCTCTTTTCTTGTAATCTCAAGCATTAGTCACCTATAACTAAGTGATAATGACATGTTTTAACTAGTTATGAGTTCAATTGACATGAATTGTAGAAAATAGGCATCCTAGTAGCCAAAATGGCCTTAATTGAGCCATTTTGGTTGAAATTGCGTTCCAAAACCTCTTACTTGCTCTTTTCTTATAATCTCAAGCATTAGTCACCTATAACTAAGTGATAATGAAATTTTTTAACTAGTTATGAGTTCAATAGACAAGAATTGTAGAAAATAGGCATCATAGTAGCCAAAATGGCCTTAGTTGAGCCATTTTGGTTGAAATTGCGTCCCAAAACCTCTTACTTGCTCTTTTCTTGTAATCTCAAGCATTAGTCACCTATAAATAAGTGATAATGACATGTTTTAACTAGTTATGAGTTCAATAGACATGAATTGTAGAAAATAGGCATCCTAGTAGCCAAAATGGCCTTACTTGAGCCATTTTGGTTGAAATTGCGTCCCAAAACCTCTTACTTGCTCTTTTCTTGTAATCTCAAGTATTAGTCACCTATAACTAAGTGATAATGACATTTTTTTAATTAGTTATGAGTTCAATAGAAAAGAATTGTAGAAAATAGGCATCATAGTAGCCAAAATGGCCTTACTTGAGCCATTTTGGTTGAAATTGCGTCCCAAAACCACTTACTTGCTCTTTTCTTGTAATCTCAAGCATTAGTCACCTATAACTAAGTGATAATGACATGTTTTAACTAGTTATGAGTTCAATAGACAAGAAATATAGAAAATAGGCATCCTAATAGCCAAAATGGCCTTACTTGAGCCATTTTGGTTGAAATTGCGTCCCAAAACCTCTTACTTGCTCTTTTCTTGGAATCTCAAGCATTAGTCACCTATAACTAACCCCAATTATTATTATTTCACTTCTACTAACTCACATTTTGTGTATTCTAAGTTTTGCAAGGGGCAAACGGGACTTCCATACACGAGCGAGGAACTCCATGTAATTCGGGAGATGTTGGCGACCTACATCACATTTAATTTGTAAATATCGTCATACATTTTTGTAGTATATCATCTCTTCATCAATCCTAGGGCTTAGCTTATTAATTATGTACTATACATGAAACATTTTTCTAATTTATATCATCTCTTGCGATTGTTATTATTAATTATTTATGTTTTGTTATTAATGGTACTAATTATTGTTACTATTATCATATATAATAATAATAATAATAATAATTATTATTATTATTATTATTATTATTATTATTATTATTACTATAATATTAATAATAATTATTATTATTATTACTATTATAATATTAATAATTATTATTATTATTAATATAATAATTATTATTATTATTATTATTAATATTGCAGCCAAAAAAAAAAAAAAAAAAAAAACAGGTCAATATTAGTGCAGCCAAAAAAACAATACAGGTCATTGGCCAATGTTTAAAAAAAAAAAAAAAAGGCGCGCCATTGCCTTTGGCAACGGTTAACTGTTGCCAACTCAAGCAATTGGCAACGGTTAACCGTTGCCAATTAATTTTAAAAAAAAAAAAAAAAAAAGGCGCCATGGTCAATGGCAACGGTTAACCGTTGCCAATTGCTTGAGTTGGCAACGGTTAACCGTTGCCAATTGCTTGAGTTGGCAACGGTTAACCATTGCCAATTGCTTGAGTTGGCAACGGTTTTGAACCGTTGCCAATTTTTTTGGGATTTGGCAACCCTCAAATACTCAACGGTTCAAAACCATTGCCTTTGGGGGGGTTTGAACCGTTGCCAATTTGTTGGTTTCGTGTAGTGTTTAACCATATTTTTATTATTGGCATGTTAGAAAGCATGATTGGTTAAACTGGATGTTTATCTTGGTTTGGATTATGGAAGAGGAATTTTATAATGGTTCATATAATTTTTGTTGATGTTATAAGCATGAAGAAGTAGCTATTTAAGTGTCTTAGTACACATGGATAAATTATATTGCGGTGCCTATGTGCACTTTAGGTGTTTCTAACACCGAGGGATAGGATTTGCGGTGCCTTATGCACTTAAGGTGTTATTTAACACCGAGGTAGTTTAAAAAGGATTCCACACTAAATTTATATGGTCACTAAATATTCAAGAATTAAATTGGTTGTTTGATTGCTTGAGTGAATTGTAATGTTTGGCTGTGTTGTGTTTGAGAGTCATCACCAAGTCTAATAATTTGTAAACCACGTAAAGTAAAAGAGATTACACACCAAAACTCTTGGAACGTATATACCTTGAGTATGAACATATGGGGGGGTTATGCGACTTTATATTTGACCATAACTCCTACTGGGGGTACAGGACGTTGTACTTTCCATTTTTATTATTTATTATGCGCAGGATCCAGTCACTTCATGTAACATTTGCCTACCCGGTTAGCTCCCGGTGTAGTTTACCTCAATTTATTTGAGGCAGGTAGTTGGTTGGAAACTCGTTCGATATGTAATAAAAAAAATTAAATAAATATTAGTTAGTAGTCGAGTCAAATGATGAATGTTGTGTGCTTGTAAACAGGTGCATCGAGGTAAGTTGTATGTCGATAGGATGAAAGCATGTTAGTGTGTGCTAATTACGCTTATGTACTCAGCTTTGCTGATTGTGTGTATTGTGTGTTTGTTTGGCCTTGTCTTTACCTTGGCCCTATGACGACCTATTTTTAATGGCGAGTAGTAGGGACAAGTAGAGAGAAGTTTTTCAAGTGATGAAGCATACTCATGATGGGCCTGAGTGAAGAGGGAATCATGCTTAGTTCTTATAAGAATATGATGTGTTATTGCTTTGAATTATTATTATTATTTATGTTGATTGTGAGACTAACGCAAAAGGATTTTCAAGTGTTTTGGTTTAAGGGCCTACAATGGTTTCAAGTTGTAGGTTGACTTCGTTTGACTTTGTTTGACTTTTACTTTCGTTTGGTTTGACTTTTAAAGTTGACTTGATTTTAAATAGTTTTAAAGGTAGTCTTCCGCTGTGTGTCTTTGATAATTTCCTTAGCCGTTTTCACGCTGGCGGTAATATCTTAGATTTTCCTTTTTCGTATTTTAAAAAGGGCAAAACAGGTATTTTAAAGGGAAGGAATTTCTAGGGTGTTACATTATCACTCTAAAACGGACGTCTTCTCTCTAAGTTTTGAAAATGTCCAAAAAAGGGAGGGGTAAAAATCTATTTATAGAAGGGTAATTCAGGGGGCATCTCTGTGATTTCCCTGCAAGACAAACGGTTAAAAATCGTTCTCCAATGGCCGCCTGACAGGTGTCACTAGTGCCACGTGGCATGCCACGTGACACCTGTGAGGGGCAAATGTTTTGGGTATTTTTACCCAGGACACGTGGTCCAATGGCAAGGTGACATGTGTCACTTCGGAAAGGTTCCCAGAGAAACAATCCCCTGCTGACACGTGGCATCTCTAATGATTGGGGAAAATGGCGGCCTTTCGGGCCCAATTCCCAAGGAAGCCCATCATTCCTAGGTTTCTGTAACCTAGGATGGCGGCACGCATTTCGAGACCCTATAAATAGGGAGATGTTCCCATCATTGGACACATTCAGAAATATTCACAAAAACAAAGCAATCATTAATTGCAGATATTCTCTCGAAATCTGAGAAGATACTTTACTTTTCGCACTTTTTACAGACTCCATACACGTTCTAACTTGATCGCCGGAGGCGGAACTCCATCCAACCGGAGTTTCCGTTGTTTTGCAGGTACAGGCGTCCAGAATCCAGTCTTGGTGTTTTAACTCTCCGGAGGGACACAAAAAACCCCGAAACAAGATCAAATTAAAGTCGGTCCATGAATGTCATTCAGTGTGATCACAGATAAGCAAAGCGTTGGGATTATCAAAGAGATGAGCAAGGTGAACAAACCAGTTTTGCTCAAAAGGCTGAAGAAGAAAAAGAGAGCATTCTCTTCTTAAAAGTGTGTGTTCAAGTCATATGGAATTGTTTGAGGATTTTAATTTGATGTATTGGTTCAAAATCAGAAGTTAAGTTTTAGTCAAGCTTTCATGAAAGTAATAGACTAATTCCATGACAACTTCGAATGCTTGAAGTAATGGTTTAGTCTATAACAATTTAGATTACATGGGAGCATTGAGAAATATATCAAATGATAAGAATAATACAGAGTAATTGAGACCAAACCTCAACTACAAAACAAATAAAAATATACCTTCTTTTCACTTCTTTCAATAGATATATTCGACTATATTTTCCCTTAGATCAACACCTCCAAATATAATTAAGAAGTAGATTCTATCAAAATAATACTAATAGCCTAGTTTCTTTTGCAGAGATAGTAGCTTAGTTTACCTTGATTGTAATCATTGTATAAAATGACTATGCTTATACTTCTGTTCTTACAAAAATGTACAGTGAGTATAAAATACTTCGTACATATCACAAGATTCACAGGCCTCTCAGTCCAATTCTTGGTAAATCTTTGGCACATTTACTAAAAATCTAGGATCATAATCTATGTTACGTTGCAATTCGATCATACATTGATATAATTGACAAGCATCATTTACCCCTTATATACTTATGGTACTATGAAGCCACAAGCACCGCATATTGCCCATTCATTCGAACCCCCAATGTGCAGTTCAAGGGCATAATTAACTAGTAACAATGTAGCATCACTCATCTTGCTATGACTACAAACAGAAAAAAATAACATGACCTTAATCTTTGCTAGTCATCTAGATGTGATGATTTAGTTCGTGCATCAACGATTTGCATTCCTAAGCTGTAAGAGTTTAGACCACCTCCTGTCTAGAGAAGCTGTCCTTTGATCACCTATATCTGCAGATAATTCTTATGAGTCAGATGCAAATTTCAGGCGATAAATGATGAATACTTCGTTTTAGACATGATGGTAAAAGAATACTTACAGTGAAGTTTTGGTTCAGACTTCTCACATGATTCGGAACAAGTCTCCTGATAACAGAAACAGTTCTCTGATAAACTAACCAAATTCGCCAATTTAAGAGACAATGTTATGCTTGATTTTTCTTATAGTACCTTAACTGCTGTCTGGAGTCTTATTGTGTCTTGTACAAGAGAGCCTAAGTCAGCTTCATACCCTGGTCTCACGTAGATAACCTGCATCCATTAATCCATCTATGTTAATACATCTAAAGTCTATTTCTGCGCTCTAGAAATCAGGAGAGGAATGTTGAACTTCTTACTGATGGATCATCACTGCCAATCTCAGGAAGTTCTGTCGACGAATCATCTCTGTCATCAGGCAGAACCCAAACACGTATGTTTGTGTCAATCTGTGAAAACATTGCTTCCTCTGTTTAGAAAAAGTTGCAGCATCTCTATTCACAGTTATCAATGTCAATGCATAACTTCAACCATTTAATTTTACAAAAATAAATACGTAATATAATGATTTGAAGTTTTGTAGTATAAGTTGAGACGTATCTAACAAAATCTCACATGACTATAGTTTTATTTAACTATAAATAAATCACCAAAAATTGTCAAAAGTAGAGTCTGTGAATAGTATAAAAGACGAAACTTAACTATTTCTAGACAAAGTATATGAAAACAATATTAAACGATTGTTGCTATTGTCAATTACATCTTGTCCTGTGCGAGCTAAGTAATTACAGGATAAGGAATTGCCTGATATTGTCCACAGAATCATAGATATATGTCTCATTTTCTGAAACATTTAAATAAAATTTATAAATAAGCTAATTTAGCAAAAATTAAATGAGTATACCGTTCTGCAGTAAGGAGAAGAGCAACTGCTGCACTTCCTGGCAATGGTTGTAACCACCTTTCCATCAACAGACAGGCCAAATCCTGCATGCTGGCAATCGAAACGATTTTACGTGCAGCTTGATGTTAGTTATAAGCAAAGTCTACGTAGTTGCAATGTATAGAAAGGGAGGACTTATTACCTTCTGAAGGGAAAGACTGACAAAAACCTCGGTATCTTTTCGACCATCCTCAGCTAAATCATCCAGCTGAAGATCCTTCAGGGAGACTAAGTATTCACAAGTCCATTGACCAGGCCATCTTCCAGTGGATGCAGGTATACTGATCACGCGTCGCGGTGACTTTGAAGCTTTCCTGGTTATCTAATTCAACCATAATTACAAGGAATTAACTACTTAGCAGAAGTATATAACATAACATCATAAACTTGATATAATAGCATGTTATATATTATACCAGTGGTCCTTCATTTTTTCTTGAAGCTCTGATTTTGATGATTTGAGGAAATGAAGGTATTGATTTTGCTGGAAATATTGGGGTTTTCAATGTGTTGATGTTTTTAGCTGAACTCAGATGGGTGGCACCTGCCATCTTTGTTCTCAACAAAGTTCTGAGGTCACTGATACAAAGGCATTATCACATAATATGTGGCTTATGTATCTTCTCTTCCCCTCACGTGATGTGCATGTGGAGGGGTATATCCGTATTTATGCCCTCATTTTCTCTTTGATCCCCTTTCGAGTCTCAGCCTCTCCTTTTCCTCTCTAGAAAACTTTACAACATAGTATATCTTACGTGGCGCAACCAATTACCTTTGATTATTATACTCTCTTTGTGCTTAAATATAAACTTCATTTCTTTTGAACACGGGTTTTTAGGAAAACATTGAACAGGGTATTGATAATTCTAGTTGAATAAAAAATGAATTGCAATAGTTTACTGTTTTAGGAGAAGTGATGGTTAATAATATAGTAGGGTTAGATAACATGTATTGATTAAACAAGAATTTTAGGAACATGAATTTATTGGGAAAATAGAGCTTTCATTTAAGGACGGAGGTAGTAAATTATTTTTTAAAATCCAATTCCTCAAAATCCTTTTTATTTTTGAGAGATTGTGAAATCGAGGGACAAAGACAAATCTGTAACTCTTTCTTTCAAGACTAACAATGAATTTGACTTTAGAGCATCCTGCTCACAATGTCACAAGACTGACAATCAAAGGTGAAAGGAAGGGTTTGGTGCTTAAGTTCTTGAATATTAACAACTAAAACAAGTTCATCAAAAGGAAAACACTAGTAAGACAATAACAGAGATTAAACTTATATCTGTGTTAATGAGATCTTCAATGAATTACTAATTTACAACACTAATCAGCAACACTATAACAACAGTATCAACCCCAATGCCTCCGAAGATGATCCCTGAAATCACCACACAAAGGTTGTTTCCTATCTATCTAAGCAGCAAAACTCATACACGACGGATGTACTCGCCCAAACCCTTCAGTGGGATGCAATATATGGGGGAAATCATAACTTTCTGTGAATTTTCTTAGAATTACAACAAACACGCAAATATAGGGAAAAGGAATGTGGGAAACCAAAAAATCGGTACAGGTTTCTGCAGTCCCGTTCTGCATCATCCTGTGAACTTAAGCTAGTTAAATATGTTCTTCCCTCGTAGATGAAATATAGTTGTTGCCATAAAAGCACAGTTAAGCCTATCCCCACAGAAATACTAGCTACAAAGAGATAAAGAAGAACAAGCCCTCTTGGCGGAAAGAACACAGCAGAAGTCACAAATGCAATAAATATGTCTTTTAGGATGCCCATGAATGTAATGTTGCTGTTGACTCCATGTATCTCCTGAAAAGATCCCTCGCCCAAAGATGGTAATACATGGAGGATTGCATAAGCAGACATGATGGCGGCATATGCTACACTAATAACAGCTACAATAAGAAAGCCGATGAAATAACGATGGTGTCCTGCACCAACACAGTTTCCAATCTGCAAAAAGTAATGAAATTGATCATCTCATTTAAAGCATCCAAAAGTAGGATTGTTTGATTCCATGTATTCACAAGCAGGGAAATTTTTAAAGCTAAGAGTCCAACAAACTTCACTATTTAGGTGTAAGAGCATTTTAGCCATGAAATAAAGCATGACATTTCAGAGCTACTCCCTAGCCCCTAGCCAGACAACTAGTATAAGTAGTCATGAAAAAAAATCTGTAACCAAAACAAAGAATATGAACCAACTTTCAAAAGCAATAAAAGACCTTGCAAACTTACAAATGGGCAGTGATGATCCATATCCAACACACAAGACCCACACGAACTGCAATGATGAGCTCTAGGTGATTTTGGCTTAGAGCAGTACAGGCAGAAAGTATAGTCCTGTAATTCATCTTTCCTCACAGCTGGATAGCTACCCCACACAACTGGCAACGGAGTGCCGGCATCAGTGAAGGCCGCCAGGCCAAACATAGAAACAGTAGACACAGACAATAGGAAAGTAACTATACTGTGGAATACGCCACAAAGTAAGCTCACTGAAAATACAACTGGGTATACTGCCCACAAACCACCACCTACATATCCATAGAAGACAGTGAAACAGAGTCACTAGTGATCAAAGCATAGATTAGAGAGATCATTTCAATAAGATCCATAAGAATCACTTGCAAGAAAAAATACTGTTATAGGCTGGAAAGTCAGATTTGTAGAAACAAGGAAGAGAATTGGGGAAAAATTGATAAACAGTATGAAATCAGCACTTAGGAGATCAAAACCCCAGATCTTAAAGCTAAATATAATAAATTAATATTTTCATCATTATTCAACATAGTTTCCCTATTGCTAAACTCCTTTAACTTAATTCTAAAAATTAGTTATGCATTGCCTAGACTACCCCTCCCCTTAGGCTAGTTCATCATACATACTAAAAGGTAAAATAAAAAGGATAATGATCGAATTTTAGCTGAAATTGTAGGAATCAAAGCCTCTGAAATTGCCGGTAAGCAAACACATTGACAATAGTCAGCTTCTTAGCTACAAGAGAGCTGAAATCTCCAAGGAGTCCAAGCTATCAAATGACATTGCACCAAGATAGTTGCTCTAAAAGTGATAGCAAAAGGTCAAATGGATTCACAGCTCAACAAATAGGAAAGGGGTAGCCTTTTTCTGTCTCTAATATAAGTAAATATGTGTATAAAAGCCTGCACCATCCCTGTTTGATTTGGCAGTTTGAGAAAGAGGTTATAGAATAGGACATACTACATGGCATAAATCACACCCCAAGGAGAAACGGGAAGTCCTACACTCCTACATGCAACCCAATCTCACAACAAAGCAAAGCCAGCACCAATGGAAAACAATTTATAGCAGTGAACTGCCTTTCTTGTGTTGGCCTATACACCTACATAGGCTAGACTGCAAGATTGAGAAACTATAAAGAGCAGGAATGATCCTATGAGCAACCAGAAAAAATAGATTTAAAAAGGGAGCATGAGGCTTACATATAACAAATGACACAAATACAAGGAGGATAGAAACAAAGCAACGATCACGTAAACGTCTCCACCGCAATTTTTTGCCTTCACGTCTGCTTTCATTTTGTTTGGTAATTGCCCCACACCAACCACACTTAAAAACTGGTGCGTTTGATGGGAGAATAAGTCGCAATCCACAGCCCCAGCATATCGATTCATAATCATGTTCCATGGAAGATGGGTACTGCTCCTGAAAAGTTGAGGCAATACAGGATTTTACAAAGTGCCATGATTCAGAATAAGATTTCTGATATTGAACAACAGTTACACAGATAAGACACATTCAACAACCAGCACCAGCCAACATGTTATGTTGTATCTTGGACATGAAGAAGTCAAACACGAGTTCAGATATCAATTTATAAGAGGTCCTTACTGTGTTTCCTAAGTTGGAGCAGAATTCAGCATCAAGGAGGAAGAAGTAATCAAGTAAGAAGGGGCATCCTGCCATTAGGCAAGAATATCTATCTGATTAATCTGCATGTAAAGCAATCTTTCAGATATGCATTCTGGCCAGCATATGCCAAATGCTAACCATGAAACAGATTGTCAATTTTCTAATCAAGGCAGGACCCTAGACGCCTACTACTTCAGCTTAGTAGTATTTCGCTTAATAACTCATTTTTCCTGGAACCAACACAATTCTAACCAGTCTCCCCACTAAACCACAATAGCAACTCAAAAGGCAAGTGTAACTTTGTTCTAAGTTCTACTCATTACATTAAATTCAATTCCAGGCTACAATGTCAAGGTCATCCAATTAGTGCAAAATAACAACAATCATTTCAAATTATGCCTTCAGATTATAACTCTAAAGCCTTATTTCATACCTCATAACCCGCCCCTCTTTATGAACCATTTATACTAATCTGTCCCAATGCAATCTGCATTGGTTTTATTTTCAGGAAAGATGACGGAATTCATTGAAAAAATAGGTAAGTTGGGGCAAGGGGCAAAAAACAACATTTTCCAAAATTAAGCAAAATCAAACCTTGAATGACATGGATTCAATGCAAATGATGAACCGAAAACTCGAAGAGAATAAGTTGGCATCACAAGATAGAACTAGAAGCACATGGCTTTGGGGCTGGCTATAGCAGAATGAACCCAATGATTAAGCTAATCTTTGTCAAAATTGCAAGTTTTGCCAGATTGAAAACAAAGTCAAAAACATAAATGAAATCATTTTAACTTCATCCGCTCATTCTGACATATATACCATGTTTTATTTCATAATAATAATTAAAAAAAAAAAAAAAAAAAAAAAAAAAAAAAAAAGCCCAATATCCATGAAGCCAAAAATTAATGAATTACAGATATGATCCAAAAAAAAAATATTTCCTTTTTCTCTTCATTTGTGAAAAGATAAAGAAGTATTCACTTTGGGACATTCCTAAACCATAGTACTTCGAATTGCAGGACTAACATCATCGGCGATTGAACACAAATACATTAGCAGTTGGAGTAAAAAAATCATTACACTTTCAGACTAAGACGGAGTTACCCTGAGACTTCATAGAATAGGTAGACATTGATCGATTTTCGAGGATCTATAAAAATAAATTGATCAAGTAATTGACACAAGTCAGACCTCCTACTCTTTCACCCCCACCCTGTTAAGTATTTGGAGAAGTGGAATACCCTGATCACAGTAGGATTTCGAGTCTTTCTTTCCAGCATTAATCATTCATTAAGAACAATCAAACAAAAGAGAAATCAAACAGAAAAATATCCAATTAATTCAAACATTTTCGTAAAAACAATTCATCTAGTTATACTCAGTCATCAACCAGTGAAAAATTTAAATCAAAGCAAAAGCAACTTCAATGCAAAATTGAATTGCTTTGATTACATGAAAAGATTAACACAATCCGTTGAAATCAAAAACAAAGTCAATTCCAACTTCAATTAGGTCAACCATCCAAAAATCAAGCATACAATCAGCTAATTTAATACTTCAAAACACCATAACTTAAAAGTCAAAAACTCGATTTCCTAGTAAAATACAACCTAAAAATTTGATAATTACGAACAAAAAAGAGGAAATTACCGGAGTTTGAGAAGAGGGAGGAGCAGTAGATGCAAGTGATTCAGAGATGAAGCCATTGTTGGATTCTTCGAGAGGAGGAGGAGAAGAAGAACGTTGCACTGCAAAAGCAAATCACAGAGAATTTCAGAAGAAGAGAGAGAAAGCGAGATGGAGAAGGAGAAGAAGGAGGAGAGAGAAAGTGAGCTCACCGTTTACGGCGGCCATGGCGGCGGAGGAAGTTGGTGTGTTGAGAGTTAAGACAGACACCACCTCCACACAGCCATGGAAAGGAAAGGAAAGGAATGAGGAGGAATTTAGTAAAGTCAAGGTTTTTCATAACTAATTATAGTAATACACTATAATTAATGAATTAAATAATTAATATGCTTTACTCGTGTTACAAGCAATTTTTATTTTTATTTTAAATTCTACATTATACCCCTCTACTTTTACATTTTCTACGTTGTACCTCATCGTTACACATTGTAACCCTTAGGTATAATTAGTGACCTTATCGTTATCTCGCCGCTAAAAAAATTTCGTTATGTTGTTATAATTACTGTTAGTGGAGCCCACTCTCCACTAATTAATATTTTTATGTTGATTTGCATGTTGGAAAAATATTTCGTTAAAGGTTTTGGGGGCCGTTTTGGCCCTTGTGAGTCCAAATTGAACTCAGATTTTGCAAAAAAAAATAAAGTCAATGCCTCATTTTGCGTGTTAAGAGATGTCTCAATTTGCGTGACATTATTTTTTAGTAGTGGAAATTGTTCAAACAAGGCATCGAGGTTTGTTTAATAGTTCCAAATAAAGTTCAAAGTTAGCCAAAAAAAAAAAAACTAACGTAATGTCTAATGTCTCATTTGGCGTGTTAAGAAATAACGCAATTGACACTTAAAACGAGACAATTACATTATTTTTTTGTCGATTTTGAGCTCAATTTGATTCCTAAAGAACTTAAATGACCTTAAATTTTACTTGAACAATTTATGTGGCTAAAAATAATAACACGCAAATCGAGACATATTTTAATAACCAAACAAGGCAATTACGTTATTTTTTTGCAAAATCTGAGCTTAATTTGGTTCCATAAGGGCCAAAAAGGCCCCCAACACCTTTTACGGAACATTTTCCATCACGTAAATCATTAAAAAAAATATTAAATAGTAGAGCGTGGGCTCCACTAATGGTGATTATAACAACATAATGTAATTTGTTAACAGCGCGATAACAGTAAGGTCACCGTATGGTTACTAATTATACTTGAGGGTTACAATATGTAACTTTCAAAAATATGGGACACAACGTAGAAGACGCAAAACTAGAGGATTATAATGTAGAATTTCCCTTTTTTTTTTAATGAAGTTCAATATTACAAATACTCCGTATGTGATCTCATTAACTCAAGTTATTAATTTCCATTATGGAGAGCAAACCTGGTTAATCTTTATGATTGACGAAATTCGTCAATCTAATGGCATTGTTGTAATATTGGAGAATAGTACTCGATGTCACCTCTTGAATAAAGATAACGGTCGTTTTGGCGTTACTCACAGAAACCACCATTAAAACTCCCTCCATTGAAAAGCTTTCTCCTTCTTCCTCCATTAAAACTTCCCGAGTCTCCACCACCATTGAAGCTTTCTCATCTCCACCACCAATGAAGCTTCCCCAACATCAACACTATTGAAGCTTCCCCGATCTCTACCCACCTTCCCCGTTCTTAAATGAAAACCCTATGAATAAAGGGTGAAATTAAAGGCGTGATCAAGCCCCAAAGGGTAGGGGTTAACTATGCCTTTAATTTCACCCTTTATTCATAGAACATAGCAGATGACGGTGGTTGTGGTGGTGGTGGAGTGCTTTTGCATTAGGAATCGCAACACCAATGTTGAGAGCCAGAAGGAGTGAGGAAAGAAAAAGCTAGATGAAGAAAGTAGGTAGTAACATTGACAATATTAAATTACTGTCTAATCCCTTTGAATAGGAATCATTTGTTCTTTATACCCTTAGACATGTTTTGTATGTTATTCATAAAGATTAACTTGTATTTTCTCCATTATGCATCCTAAAATATTGGTTTTTGTTAATTGAAACTCAGTATGTTATGAAAATTGAAAATATGGTATTGGCTTGCTAACTAATAAGCTATGGTGTTAATCTTACTCAAAACGTGGTTCTCCTTAAGGGGGTCCCGGTGGATCTTAAGGCGTTTTATTAGAGGGTTTGAGTAGAGTGATGGTGCCAAGGAAAGTTCCGCTCTTACAGCTTAATGTTATTACTTTATTCTTTCCTATACTTTTGTTTGTTTTTATTTTCCTCTTTAGTGTGTTTTTTTTTCATTTTATTTGCTTCTTGTTTCTTTGGGGATTGTTTCTCTTCTTTTTCACAAAAAAAAAAATAAAAAAAATAAAAAATAATAATAATTTGAAAATATCTATGTTTAAATAAAGCTTTTTTTTTTTATACTCCCTCCGTCCCCTTTTGTTTCTCACTTTTGAAGGAAAATCACAGGGATTTAGATGGAGAATGTGAAATAATGGATGTATATGGGAAATAACGAAAGTATATGGGAAAGTATAAAGTAATTAAAGTGCATGGAAAAGAGACATTTCCAATTAAAAATGTAATTAAGGGAAAGAAAAATTGAGAGATTCAAGAGTGCAAAACATTAATTTAGTCAAAAGTTGGCACAATTTTTATGGCAAATGTTAGGGTAAAATAGAAAGAGGACTTAATAAGGACAAAAAAAAATGAGGCTATAAAAGTCTTTTTATGTATCTTAATAATTATGAAAATATGAAATGTGACAAATATTTGGAGGCACCCAAAATGGCAAAAGTGACAAATAAAAGGAGACGGAGGGAGTATGTTTTATTCAATAAATGTAGATACGCAGTTTAAGAAAATATTGAATACTACTTCGTATGATTGTAACATAACGTAAGGAAGTGTCTATTTTGGCAAATAGTATAGATTTGGAATCGGAAATAAAATTAGACGGTAGTGTATAAGGTTGGAACTTTTTTTTTTAATGGAATAGGGAGGGGTGATTTCATTAAATAATAATATTCGTTCGACATTTACAATCATCCTTTAAGAGATCTAAATTCTCAATATAAGAATTAAACATCCCTAAACTAATAGCATTGCTTTTGCCACTGCTCCTTGATGATTTTAGATGTCTTTGCATCGTTTTTGACGGAGCTCCATTGATATATAGTCGCAAAAGTGATAAAACTTGATTGGCCATCAAGATCTGCAAATTTGCAAGACGAATCTTCTAAATCTGCACCCCAATACCAACAGACCCGCAATTCCGCAAATTTGCAAGACAAATCTTCCGAAGTTGTATCCCTGCACACACGAAAAAACAAACAAACAAACAAACAAACAATACTAAACATTCTACCATTAGGGAACTGACTAAACCCTACATGGAGGGACCGACTATAATCACCATACTTTTGGTGATCTTTATTGGTTAAAAATATTAAAAAAGAGAATTTAGGGCTTACCATAGATAACAATCGATGACAGTTCCTAACTTTTACTATGGTTGCTAGGTTTGAGGAGAAAAAACAAAGAGATTTTTTTTTTTCTCTTTTTTGAAACAACACAGAGAATTTTGTATAAGGCTGGAACTTGATACCTAAAGCCACGCGTTTGGTTTCATTTAAAAATGAAGATTTTTCTTTTATTTGATACATTACAGTAGGAGTCTTATCCAATCTTAATCCCATCTCCTTCACTCCTTTCTTCTTCCTGTCAGCTTCAGGACCAAATAAGAAATTCAAACTCATTCTCTCTCTCTCTCTCTCTCTCCCCCACTTTTTTTCTCAGCAACCTCAAAATTCATTTTCAGATTATAGTGTAGATGAAAATAAGCAGAGTTTAATTTTATCCTCATATTTTATTTTATTTTTCTGTTCATTGGTTTGTTTACAGTGTTTGATGGCAACCCTTTGCAAGTCTTACCCCCTTTCGCTTGTAAGTGCTTTTTTTTTTTTTTTTGCAAAAAATTACTCCATATATATTAATATATATATTATTACTAGTAATTAATTACACGTTATGATCACTAATCTCTCAATTCCTAGTTTCCTTAGTTATTTTGAGGGGCTGATTTTTCTGATATAAACTTCCGAAATCGGATAAATAATCCAATCCTAATGATTCTATTTCAAGAAAATTGTAGAAACTGTTCTAGAAAGCAGACCTGAAGATTAGCAGTATTAGTGACTTCAGTCAAAATGGCAACACCAAAGTTGATCATAAGGACAATGTCATTCAGAGAATTGTGCATACGTCGATGATAGTTGTTCATCTCTGATTGTGCTGCTCGTATTCTTTAAATTTGTTCAACTATCTCGTGTATTCTCTGTTGTTTATTCTGACTACAAGTAACAGTGTCAAACAAGTAGTCAAAAATGTATTATAATCCTTGCACTCGGATCATTAGATGAGATGATATCGAGACATGGTCAGTAGTGGTCACTAGGATCCTGTAAAACCCCTCTAGACCTTAAAATTGCACTTGCACCTGCCAACTCGGTCCTCAGGTCTGATAACTTTGGAAGCGATAACTAAGATGGACTTAATTTGAAGTCTGTACCTGATTATTAATGAGATCTTGGAAAGTCGCGTGACAAAATGATAATAATAGGAATGAATCGTTTTAAAGAAGGGGTTTCCAATATGAGGTAGCCAGCCAGTCAACCCTATCCTATATCCTCGTAGTTTAATCCATGAAACCGTTGACAAATCATCTAGTATGATTGCTTTAACAAATTTTATTTACACTGCAGTGTGAATTCTGAATGTCCTTGTTCTTATAGATTGTCATTCTGTAGATGCTTATGCCCCATCTGTTGTATCTATGCAGAAAAGATGCAGGAGTCCCACAGGAAGAAACCCAGATCACATCCCACGAATAACCCTTAGTCCCCGGTGTGCCATGGGGGTAACTGTTCAAACAGTCACTGAAATCTCGCATCAAGGAATAACCAACTCTGAACCAATATCTGATATGTTTGCTCTTGCTACAACTAACATCAGTATGCTCGAAACAGCACATATCTTCAATGAGCTGAAGCACAATATACTGTTAATAGAGTTGGATGCAGCCACAGCAAAGGCTACCATTCCCTTTATAGGACCTTTCCTTTCGGCATTTTCCTTCCTTTTCATCCTAAGGATAGTCATGTCATGGTATCCAAGACTTCCGGTGGGTAAGTTCCCGTATGTTCTTGCTTATGCACCTACAGAACCACTTCTAGTTCCTACGCGCAAAGTGATTCCACCCCTTGGCGGGGTGGATGTAACACCTGTGGTTTGGTTCGGATTACTTAGTTTCTTAAATGAGATATTAGTAGGACCTCAAGGACTTCTGGTCCTCCTTTCTCAGCAGATGTAAGTAGTTAACACAGCTGAAAGAGTAGATGATCATTAGGCTACTTTTGGTGCCAATATTATAATTTTTGGGTTCATAAATTTTAACAATTTATGTATTTACAAATTTTTGGAATCTCAGACTTTTTTTTTTGGTTAGTCGCATGATGAGAAATGATATTGTAATTAGGGGTGAGCACAACCGGGTACCCGGTGAAAAACGAAGGAACTGGTCTTGGAACTGGTTTGTACCGGGTCCTAGATTTTGGAACCAGACCCGGAACCGGTATAACCGGGTCCAGAATATTTAGAACTGGAACTGGAACTGGTGGTAACCGGTTCTAGAACCGGGTATCCGGTTACATATCCAAAGGAAAAATCAGATTTGATCGATAAACAGAAATTATATTTATTTAAAAAAAATACAAACCTAAAAGTATTATATGAAAATTGCAGAAAATAAAGATGAAAAAAAGTAGATCTGAGCATTTAGAGAATGTACAGTAGCAAACTCGAGTTGTATTACATAATCATGGCTTTTTCATAAATTTATTAGCCTGAAATCACACAAATCATCCCTAAAACTCATAATAATAGAGTATGTAAGCTTGATTCATCTTTAATCTTCATCTGTTTTCGGCCTCTTCTTCACCACCTTCATCTTTTACCTCTTTCTATTGTACAAATAAAAATTAAGGATGGAAAAAAGTGGATTTAGATACAAGAATTTGGGAAAAAGATAAGAGTGGAGTGATTAATTTAAGTTGGGTGAAATAATCATCAAATTGGAGTTTGATGTTTGACGGATGAAAGTAGAAATTATGAGTGGTTTTTGGTGGGTGATGAAATGAAAAAAACATGAGTTAAAAAAAAAGTACTCCTTAAATATATGGTGACTAATTAGGTTAGAAATAAAGTGTGGGCTAGGAAATTATAAGGCCCAATAGATAATTATGCCCCATATATTCAGAGCAGGCCACGAATAACATATTTTTAAAGCAATGCAACCAGTTCCGAGTATCCGGTGGGTACCGGGTCCGTAAAATCAAGAACTGGAACTGGAACCAGTTATAACCGGTTCCTGATTTTTGGACCCGGACCCGGAACCGGTTGCACCAGTTCCAGTTCTGGACCCGGCGGGTCCTAACCAATTCCGGGTCCAAAACCGGGTACCCAATAATTTTGCTCACCCCTAATTGTAATGTATATTCATGAATCATGACAGCGATCATAGATTAATACAAAGTACTCCATTCAACACAATAAAAAGCCAATTTTCATATCATGTTAAAATAAGTTCTCATTTTACCTTCGACAGAATATTTTGATTAAATTTAGACGACTATTTAAGTGTGACTTATTATTTAGAGAGCAAGATTTTGGCTCACTATACCTACTGCAAGATTCGAGAAATAAGTCAAGAATTTCACATAATCTCCAAATAAGATAAATTGTGTCAATTGCCATCCTGCACATTTCCATTTATCTGCTAGTCTACTATCACCATCCTCAACTGTTCAATCACCATATAATATGAATTCTTATTAAACTCCTTGCAACTGCAGAAATTTACAATAAAATGCAGATGTTGCCTGTCATGGAAAATGGAAAGCTCGAGACTAGATGGCCAACAGAGGCATAGATGATTTCTTATCAAAACAGATTGCATCACAAAGACCATGACTATATATTTCTTTCTAGTAATGAGTTCACATACTACATACGAAGTATATGTCAAAATTTTGGAAAATTATAATATCCATGAAAAAATAGTTACAATTCTAATTCTAAACATTGCACGGTCATGACCCTCAAAACCACTGTTCTCAAAAAATGCAAATGAATCCTGCTCCAGTTTATATATCTGCATCAAGGAAATTGCTCGACAAAGAAACCTGCAACATTGAACAATCAAGCACAGATACATTATACAAGTCTCAAAGTATAAATTCCTGATCAGACATTAATAAAATTGTCTAGGCATGCATCTATAAAGCTGAAATCTGTGTGATTTTTAGATTCCACCTCACAGGGGTATGCATTGCGAAGATGCACCATTTAGGAAAAAAGTAAACAATTACAGAAATCAAACTGGATTATAAAGAATATACTTGTCTTTACCAAACTGCATCAAAAGCTCTATCATTTTGATTTCAAATAAACAAGACAGACAATTAACTCATCATTTATATTTTATTTAAAATAATAACTGGAGAAAGGGAAGGGAAAGGAAAAGATAGGGAGAAATCTAATATTCCTTTGGAGGATTTGCTTATATTCCTTAGTTAAGCAATAGAGGGACTTTATGTTATCGACTTTCCTTCGATCCAAATTCCACTGATTTGGGAGAAAAGAAAGTATGATTTTAGTACGAGGTCTTTAATAATATATAATGTAGGAAAGCTACTTAGTTCATTTCCCTTTCCTTTCCATCCACCTCCTTCTCAGCAAACCAATACTAAGTACATTACAAGGATACAATAACAGAGGTGGACGCGTCCAAAAACTGATATAGAAACTAATAAGGGTAATAGTGTAAGCTACTTAAGTATAGTGACATTGAACTACTAGTCTACTAACACTGATGGAAGCCAAGTTGAGGGTATATCAGGATATAAAATTATCCAGATTTTTGGCAAAATACCAGCTCTTTTTTGCATGGAGAAAGTTTGCTGCCCAAGTTCTAACTCCATAAAATACCAAACAGAGAAGTTGAGCTCTAACTCAGCATCACTGCACCTATAGCAGGAGGCTAAAAGCAATGACAAGATTCACAACAGTCTGAAGCTAGAGTTCTCTCAGACACTTGATGAGTAGCTAGATGACAAGGCTACTATCCAATATTTTCTCAGCGGTAATATTGTTACAAGATCTTTTAACTGGCTTCCACAATTATATATATATATATATATATATATATATATATATATATATATATATATATATATATATATATATATATATATATATATATATAAATAACAAAAAAATAATAAAAAAAAAGACATTAGAAAAGTATAAGGTGCCTACTATAAGATTCAAACAAAGGATAAACCAGTCTCTGCACAACTGGACATCTAATTGGTGCAAGAGTTCAGTAGCTTGATCTTCCCAAAATATTATTTACTTGCCATTCATTGGGAGAATATACAACAATTTAGGCTAGATGCTATGAATACTGTCTTTTAGAAATTGTAGGGTTAAGACTAAAAACAGCAATCGGATATAACTGACATAAAGCCCCTATCTCATTCCCATACTCTAGGTAAGAACCTCTTCAAACGCATTGGAAAAATAGTTTAGTACGATATAAATTATAAAAGTCTAACTTCCGCAAAAGTTCTCAGCTTCCCACCCACTTTTTGATACTCCGTACCTTGAATTGCCCAAATGCTCATATTTATAGATCGATGGATAGCCACTTTGGCAGAACAAAGGCAGTAAAAGCAGTAATAACAATTACATAAATGAGTAAAGCATTAAGGTAATGAAGAGAGAGGTGTACCTTATCCCCAAGTTTAAATGCCGGAAGACCTTTGTATGGGCATGTGCTGCACCTAAAAGCATCTCCTAGTCCACACTGTAATATTAGGAAGCCCAATAGGAGAGTTTCAGATAGGATGACAACCAATAATATGCAAATAAGCAATATAGGTGATTCAACGTCAATTTAAAACCATAATGAAACATGCATAACCATCTTCAAAAGTCAAGATACTCTGAATTAAGATACCACAAATGTAATTATGATGCTACAACACATACACTTCCACATGCAGACTGAGGATTATCCAGCTGTTCCATTTTTAGCCCCAATTTTTCAACTTTCTGTTCTTCCTCAGCCCTACCACATGAACAGTTCTTGCAGGCTTTCCTTGTGCTTCCAACTTCACAATCCCCAACTGTAATGATAATTTGAATCATCATGCATATATATTGGAGAGCTAATTCCCAGGACAAAAGAGGGGGGGGGGGGGGGGGGGGACATCCTTGTTTTCCTAAGATCTAACCTGCAGGAAGTTGTGGTTTCTTCAAGTCTTCCTCAGTTAATAGAGTGTCCTCATCAATCAGATCCATATCATCATCAATTTGAACCTTGGGTAAACCTTTCGAGGCTTTGAGAGAAAAAGATGATCCAATTTTCCAAGATGGCTTCTTGGCTTTAACCTGTAATAGAAGAACTACACTTCTCAATTTTTCACCAAATAAATTAAACAAAAAAAACACAAATCCTGTGTAAACAGTGGGGAACGGAAAAAAAAAAAAAAAAAACAACCATCTTGTTTCAAGGATAAATTGTCCTCATTCTGTAAGTCTTATCTATCTCTGACGAACCTATTTTTTCTAGACTCCACTAGGCCAGTGGAACCATGATGGCAAAATTGAAATTACTACTGAAACAAAACATTAGTGAAATAACCCATATAACATCCCTAATCTCAGAGAGAGAAATACGAGCACAAAATACTGGCAAGTTGAAGTCCTTTCCATAGAAATAGGCAAATCAAGAGACACTGTCATCATAAGTAATCGACAAAAGTAACTGTTTAACTCTTTATACTCCTACACTTTCACATCACTCATATTGATGTAGTTTGCTACTAACCATATAATTTCAATAAGTTCCTTCAAAATTGTAAGCATTCATAATGAACTACCAGATAATTATATTTGTTAAATAATGACATCTTTATTCATGCTTAATCAAAGGCCTATTCAAAGTTCCATCACAATTCAATCAATCAAAGCCTTAGACCCATCAGTGGGGTCGGCTACATGAACCAAAAGTTCCATCACTATTAATAAGATAGTTTTAGGACAACCAGTTTATGAATCTTGTTAGGCTATGTTTAGTTCTTATTTTTTCTAATGTGATCTAAGCTTATTTTTTCTCAACTGAACTGAACTGATTTGATTGCCTAATTTGACTAAAATGTGACTTTACGTACATTAATGCGTAAGGTAAAAATAAATCAAGTGGGGTCTTATAAAAAATTGCACATAAAATGATAACATATGATCTAAACTTGTTTTTCTCATTTGATCTGATTTGAAATAAGTAATAAGGTACTTAAATAAGGTAAACTAAGCATAGCCTTAATCTTGATGCTTAATCAAAGTGGTCACGAATTCTTAGATTATGTAATTGATCAAAGCTG